CGGTCCCGCAGCGGCCGTTCCTCTGTGAGAGGCGAACGCCACGTGTGAGCCCTCGGTTTCATTCACAAAGCCCTCCACATTGGGGGGGAGGTCGCAGAAGCGTCCTGACAGCAGGTAGCCTCTGTGTCTTCGGCTCACAACACCCACACATTCTATGATTCTAAGATTTTATGGAAATACGACAACTGGCAGCACAGAGCCATCCTGTGGCAAGATATAGCTACCCAGCTAGAGGCACTTTTGGTAAAGGTAAAACATGTAGATGTCCACATGCCTAAAAGCTAGGCCACTGAAGAACACCAACACAACCATCAAGTGGACCAGGCAGCTAAAATGTTCCAAACAGATTTGGACTGGGAGCACAGAGGTGAACTGCTTTTACCTCAGTGGGCCCATGAAACTTCTGGTCATCAAGGAAGAGACCCAACATGCCAATGGGCTCATGACCAAGGGGTGGATTTAACTATGGATATTGCGCAGGTTATCCACGATTGTAACAGATGGTTAAAAACCTTGTGATATGGGGGATGTTGGTTAAAATACAGGTATGGAGAGGCCTGGCAGATTGATTACATCACAGTCCCTCAAATTCACCAGGGTAAATGCTATGGGCTTACAATGGTCAAAGCAAGCACTGGATGGCTGGAAACATACCCTGTGCCTTATGCCATTGCCTGTAATACTATTCTGGGCCTTGAAAGGCAAGTCTTGTGGTGGCATTGGACCCAAGAGAGGATCAAGTCAGACAATGGGACTCATTTCACAAACAGCCTAATAGACAATTGGGCCAAAGTGCATGGTATAGAGTGGATATATCATATACCCTATCATGGACCAGCCTCTGGAAAGATTAAATCTTATAATGGCTTGCTAAAAACCACCCTGAAAGCAATAGGTGGTGGAACTTTTAAAAACTGGGATAAACATTTGGCACAAGCCACCTGGTTAGTTAACACCAGAGGATCTATCAATCGAGTTGGTCCTGCCCAATCAGATCTTTTACATGCAGTAGAAGGGGATAAAGTCCCTGTATATGAAAGGAATCTGTTGGTAAAAACTATTTGGGTCTCTCCTGCTCTAGGCAAAGCAAACCCATCCTTGGGATTGTCTCTGCTCAAGGCCCTGGACATACCTGGTGGGTAATACAGGAAGATAGTGAAGTCCAGTGTATACCACAAGGGAGTTTAACTCTGTCTGAGAGAATTTAATTTTAGGTTGCATAGTTTTAATTACTGTATAATAGTGATAAGTGTTTTTCTAGGATAATACAGTGGCGACCTCAAGATGAACCTGCAGCACGAGGGCATGAACCCCAACAAACTCCATACCATCTCTCCTGCCCTGAGAGACTGTCATGATGGATGAAGATCTGCAACCTGAACTCAACAAGCTGTTGTATAAAGACAATTCATAATACAGTGAATGAGTATGGTACAAAATGGTATGGAATAAGGGGTGGAATGTTATGGTTTGAGGGGACCCAGGCTAATTTTATGGTATTAATATGAGAACCTAGAGAGTGGGTGTGGGGAATGGTCCATCTTCTTCCCCCCCACATAAGACTAAACAAAAAATGCCTTTCAAGCCAGCAAAGCAAGAGTGACGCCTTTCCACTGATTCACTCAAGGACAGAATGAGCAGGCCTCTTGCCCTACCAGGTAAGTGCATGGCAAGGAAGCAGCACAAGGGTTATGATAACTGGCAGAAAAATAGACAATAGGTTAAAAACTGCCTCTAACAGAATATGTACCTGGCCAATGGTGATTGGCTAATTCAGACAGTGGTACTTTCTGGAACAATGATCTCTGATCTATAAAAAAAGGGGGCAAGATCTGCAGGGCTCTCTCTGCTCGCTCTCTCTGCCTGCTTGGGACGAGACCCCGCTGCAGTACCTGAACTTGCCTGAACGCCACTCCCGCTGCCCGAAGGAACGAGGGGGGGGGGGCGCCG